GCAACTGTTTGCCTGATTCTACGGTAGTTTAGGTACAATTTGGCGAGCACGGTTTATGGCGCTTGTCCTTATCACTTCTGGACGGTCTACTTTGGATTACGCGTTGATTGAAGCTGATTTCCGGGTACATCTCAGATTATGATGGTATATCGAGCACTTCAACCCATCGGTAGTTGGTAAGAAATCTATAAATATATGCACTGATTTTTCATTTTGAAATTTGTTTGATGACGGAGAGGCGTGTGTTACACAGTCATTACAGGATAGCGCGGGGCGGCTTGGTGATGTACAGTGGGCTGGATGGAGAAGGCGTGGTGATGCATTCGAGGTAAGCGGCGTGGGGTTAGTAAGGTGCTTGTTTGTGAGGCCCGACGGGTTAGATGGATAGCGCATGTGATGCAACCGGCGTTACATTAGTCGCCTTGATAGAAGTTCGTGAAGCGTTGACTGCAGTCGTAACCAAAGAGCCTAGAAACTCATTTGGCCAATAGTTGTGTAAAAAAAAGCATCGAAACACTTTATTTACATCTCGTAATCATGCCGGAAGCGCATGCCAATCGGAGTGTTGGTAAAAAGTCTTTCTTTATGCTGCTTCCGAGCTTGGGCGGCCGAAAACAATCGCAACCTTGTCCGACGTGTCGTTGATTGCGCATCTAGGACGTTTTTATATCTTTATGTCGCTGGTTAAGTTCCTTGCACCACTAATGTGTTCTTGCCAGGTTGACACGTATTTTCTGGTGCTTATATTTGCCGCAATATCTTGACATACTACTTAGACTTTCCTCTCTTTTACGAATCGCTACCCTGCGTTTACTAGCGAACTTTGTTTTAAGTTATCGGTCAAAAACCAAAATCGTCATTTTGAAGTGGGCTCGTGAAGTATACTATACTTACATACTATCATTTACCGCGGACAAGTCTGAACGCCGACCTTCACTGTCAGCAGACACGGACCCATTGCGCTCTCTCGACGGCAGCCCGTAGAAATTTCTACCCGCTTCAGGTCGACAGCGTGAATTTCAAAATGCGCATGAAGTGGCGAGTTCGCGCAATTTTCGCGCCCAGCGACCGCAGAAGATCGCGTAACTTCAATTTAAAAAAAGTCTCCTCTTAAGGGTGAAGTCTGTGTCGATAGTAAAACCAAGTTTACTTTTTATGTGGTTGCCAAATAAGAGTCTGATTAAAAATGTCATAAACGGTTTTTATGCGATTTTTGATCTGACCAAACTTTGGTCAGATCAAAAATTGTCTGCTTTTGTCGAAAGTTTTATCACGGTTTAATCACGAACGACCCTTCGACAAAAACCTTTTTTAGAAGGGTTGTGGAAGGCACCCAGTGTTGATATTTTTGTTTTCATTTTTTTTCATTTTTGCGTATAAAGGATTTGATACGACATTAAAAACATTTTTGCAAATCATTCTTACATTGTTGACGTAAAAACAAGACCATGTGGTGGACTGTGTATAAATACTGCTATGCGGCTCATGTCAAAGACCGAGCAACGACACCGTTTCCGACACATGTTTATGGACGTAAAGAAGCCTGGCAAAAACACTTGTCGGACTTCTCTTACTACACTCTGGGAACGCATTTCTGAGCGAGGACAATACAAACTTGAGTCAGCACGGTGGTCCCAATAAACAATAATGCACGTCGCCACCGGAATTTAGTGACGGTGAAA